CCCTAATAAGTCGTGCTCAGTGTAACAGCCTTTACAGTGTGAGTGAGTTGACTGTTCCTCAGCGTCTGGTTCTCTAACCCCTCTCTGTGTGTTCTAGATTACTCTGAGGCGTATCAGGAGATCCTGGACCGCGAGGACTATTTCCCCGACCTGTACGAGGAGAACGGGAACGACTCGTGAGTTGAAGCCGCTGTTCACTGATCTCTCTCTGGGCTCTCTGTGTGGGTTCTCTCGCTGTATGATGGCTCAGTCCGCAGGGTGTGGTACAGGGTCAGAACCGGTGACCCCTGTGACCCGGCAGGTCGTTCACCTCTCTGTTCTCCTGCTCTGTCTCTCTGATTGTCCTCTCCTCGATGAGCTCAGCAGGGCTGTGGGTGATTCTGCGTGTTGGTGCTGAGTCAGCTGTTGGGAGAAAGCGTGGGCTTTAGGCTGGATTCTGTTCAGCCCCGCCCCCTAAAGACTCGGCACAGACAGGCACTGTGATCAGCTCAGACCAGCAGGGGGCGACACAGCTCAAACATCACTGCACCAGAGCTGAATTTGTTCACTGTGTGTTCAGCTCAGATGATCAGATGCTGCTCTTAACTCATAAACTCAGCTGCACAGTGTTACTTAACCTGAGTACCAGGCAGAGTCAGCACTGACCAGCTTACCTCAGGCCAGATTAGCCCAGTGGCTCGTTTTCCTTTGCTTTCCTTGGACAGGTTGATGTTAAAAATGTGAAAATGTATGAAAAATATGAAAAGATCTTTTTCAGTATCAGAACAGGTGAGAGCCCAGATCATCATCATGCCTTAACACTGATTGACATGGCTGTAATTTATGTGGGTCAACCAAATTTATTTATTTATTTATTTATTTATTTATTTATTTATTTTATTTTTTTACATTGAGCGTTAAGAATGTTTTAGATGTTTTACGAGTTTTTGTTGACAGTATAACGGCAGAAACATACTTTATTACTATGAAGACGCTACAGAAGTGTCTTCGGTCGTTTCCCTCCGTTAAATCATGCATCAAATGACGCCCTGGTTGCTCTGTAGAGCCCAGAGTTCTAATGTAGTAGTAGTATTGTTTATAATTGTTTTTATAATTTTATAATCGGCCCTCTTTCTTTTATTTAGTTATTTAGCCTTTAATTGAACCAGGTATGCTACAGGATGCTTGTAGGAAGGAGAAAAATGGGGAAAATCATTTTAAACAAAGACACTAATGATACCAAAGACATCATAGCACAAAGCAGGAATGAGCAAAAGACAGTAGAGTAGAGGACAAAAGCTCAGAAAAACAAATAACCCAAACAGATAGAATAAGGAAATGTATAGAGTGTTAAGGAGTAGAGCACCTGGATTAGGCCCTTAGTAGCTTTATTACTATTATATTATTACATTATTATATTATTTTAACAGTATTTCAGCCCTTAGCAGCTGCAGTGATCTGAGACCAGGGGCCGAGTTTAGGGACTCTTAATTGGAATATTAGTGCAGTCGACCTTCAAAGATCAGATACTGAACGTCGTTATCTCAGGAAGACTACAGTAAAGAGTTGGGTGTGGTTGGAGTGGAGCTGGGCGATATGGCCAAAAATCTTATCACAATAAAAATGTTCATATCGTTCGATATCGATACATATCGCGATAAATGTCAAATTATTATTTCTTTCATGTTTGAAGGCTGAGGTTTTGCTGCTGAGTGGTCAGTTGCTGTTTTAAACTATCCTTTATGGTCAGAACATGATAAACACTCACCAACCAGTGGAACACTTCACCAATCTGTCATGGGAGAGTTGGAGAGAGTGTCTGGTGAGCTGTTTTTACCAGCTGGAAAAGCACGGCTGCAGTATTTGTAATATTCATAATGTAAGAAAGAAAACAGATTATTTTAGCTGTCTGGTTACGACTAAACTGTTTAGTTTCTCAACAACGTCAGCTTAATACCGACAGTAAACATTAGCTGGTTCAGTAGGTCAGTGATGGATCACACTGCCTCACTGCCGTCACTCCCACCACATCAGAGCACATCACAGTACTCAGACACCAGCTAGCGACGACTGTGTTTCTCTATAGTAGTTTAAGTGGTGAACCACAATATATCAACACCAGACAAACGGAGTCCTCCTTTTAGGAACGTTTAAACTGAAAGCGGTGCTTTTGTGTCGTGTTTGATCTACAGTATCATCAATTCTCCGTGTTGTGTGAGTGACGGAGCTGCTTCAAGTTAGCCAGCTGCTAAAAACAGCCTGGAAAGATAACCTAGTGCTCTCCAATGCCTCACAGCTTCCTCAGTTTACTTTCGTTTAAATCAGGGCTGTAAATAACATGAACCCACTTCTTTCTTTCGCTTTCGTTGTTTGTGAATGCACTAATACTTATTTTAATACTTAAAATACGACTGAGCGCTGTAACAGTGCTGTAGTTGTGAGGAGCAGACGTGATTTACCGCTGCTAAAGTTGTTAGGATGTACAGAAAGAGGTGAGTTCACTGTAGGACAGTACAGTTACACCACTGACCTCGTCACTCACACTCGGTCACAGGAGAACATCATGTCGAAAAACTCGGAGGTGCGCCCTCTCGTGGCGAGAGCAGAGTAGTGTCACTTTCCTTGCAGTAGAAAACACCACGGCTGTCACTAGAACGCGTGAGTGTGAGAATTCTCCATTATATAAAAAATGTATTGAACATTTCTTATCGCTCTATCGAGGAAAGTTATATTGCGATAATTATCGCTATCGTTTTATCACCCAGCCCTAGGTTGGAGAGGAGCCTAACGCCCTGTAATCCAGTATAGTTTGAAGTCGGTTACTCTTATTTTCACTGAATTTGGGTGCGCCCAAGTCAGATACAGATCTGCAAGATTCCAGAGTCCGTATTTTCGGTTCCCAGAAGGCTATTAATGCGGTCCAGGGCTCGTTGGAAAGGGTGCGTCCCGCTGTACTGACCTGTGTAGTTTGGCTTCGTCACTGATTATTAAAGGTGCTTGTTGTAGAGCTTTCCCTTCTTCTGTGGTTTATTCATGATGTCATCAGCGATTAGTCGATGTTGACTCGAAGTTAATCAATCTGAAGTCGTGCTGCCGCGTCTCTGTAGTACACACATTTGTCACGTGACTGAAATGCTGCTTTTTCTGTGCGCAGGCTCGACGCTGACGAGGAAGAGATGGATCCGGAGATCGAGGAGGCGTTTGAGAAGTTCTGTCTGGAGTCTGAGAGAAAAAGGAAACAGTAGAAACAGCAGAGCGGAGCCGCCGGGGGTCTCCAGCCTGGGGGTCTCCAGCCTGGACGGCGAGAGAAACCAGTTTTATTTGATTTTATTTTAGACCGTTTCAGTATGTAAACCAGCACCCCCAGCTCCTGAGGTCCGCCTGGACCTCCTGTTCGCTCGACGCCTCGACGCGCATCGGCTGCCGTCGACTCCTTCCGCAGCGCTGGGCTGTTCCTGGTTTGCTTTGATTCTCTCTCTTCTCCCTCCCCCTGTTTGTTTGCTGATCTGAAGGTTTGCAGTGGGTTCTTTTTTCTTCAGTCTGAGAAGCAGAGTAGCGTCGTCAGCGTTTGATCTCGAACTAACCGCTTTAGCCGAGCGCAGGGCTGAGTTTGAGCCGCTCTTAAGGTACTCGAGAAAAAATCATTCAAGAAAAACAATAAGGGAGAAAAAAAAGTTACCAAAAATAGAGTTTTGGTGAGCTTTGAGTTTCGTTTTGTTCTTTTCTTTGGGTTCTTCTTTCTTCAGGTTCATTTTGGACCTTTTTAAGAATTTTACAGATTTGATGCACTTCCTGAAGCCTCCGCCGCCAGTTTGGTTACTGAATCCCGAAAATGAGCCCTCCGGTTAGACTGGTGGGAGGAGATGGATTCAGAACCACTGTGACATTCAGCACTGTTCACACTCTCCCCACCCAGAGGAAACCTTTATTTTATTATAGTATTGTAAATATTATTTACAGCATTGTTTGCCTGCAATAAATCTTTATAACATCACTGCTTTTCTCTGTTTCTGGCTCTTTGATTCCTCATACATGACACAAAATCACAAAAGATACTTTTCTTTTGGATGCAAATCTTCATTTATGTTCTTCTCACTCATGAGTGTAGTTTAGGGGGGCACCTCAAAAAGTTGGAAGAAATAGAAATAAACTTTATGTTAAGCACCTAACTCGCTCATGTTTAGCAGTATACGGATTCTCCACAAGGGGGCGACATTGGCACTCAGATTTTGAACCTTCATAATAGTGGTGTTCTTATTTGTCTCCCAGTTTATTAACAATTTTAAACCTGAAAACTAAGGAGAATGTTTTAAACTACACCACCTCCACTGTCGTTTCTAAAATTGTCTTTGTTAAATTTTTATTTTAAGTGTATTTTAGAAGTTTTTTAACAGCAATATGTTAAACAGTAATGTATTGTTGTAAAACACATTTTTAAAATCTATGACAAACAAAACTACCTTTTTTATTTGTATATTGTCTCTTTTGGGCCTCCAGTCCAGCATAAACACTGCACACCTCTGGTTTAGAGTTTAAACACTGAGTTTAAGGGAGTTCAGGGTCCAGATTCAGCCTAAACCTGGACTAAAATGAATTCCCAATGGTGGTTTGACATTAACCCAGCAGTTTAGTACAAGACTAAGCTTATTCCAAGTCAGGGAAAATGGCCCATAGAGCTTAAACGTCCAGCTGAGATGATGATCATAATAATAATAATAAAGATAAGCGTTATTTATAGAGCACTTTATTACAAGCAGCAGCTGAATCTCAGTAACAATAATTAAATGGTAAAGTTAGAGATGGAAATTATCACACATGACGTATAAAAGCTGCTGTGGAAGAGGAGCTTCACATCTAAAACCATGTGTTAGCAGTGTTACAGTAATTATTTGCTAGGAAAATGAATAAAAATCAAATTGTATGGCTGCTGTTCTCCTCCCGGCCACGAGGCGGAGCAGTCTTACTGAACACGTCTGCTGCGAGTCCCGCAGTAGGAGAACCGCCATCCAGTGCAGGCGAGGCGCTGACCCCGGACGCGGCTGGCGGGTCTGTAGCGGCTCTGCTGAGTTTGGGGACTAAGTAGAGTTTAAATGACCGTAGTTTAGAGTTTAAATGTCGGAATAGAAGTGAAATAAAGGCTGAATGCTCAGAGGAGTTCGAGTGACGCGGGGATTCAGGAGCTGCGGGGCTGAATCTGCCGTTTGAGCTCAACTTACCGCTCCACCTTAAATGGTGCTGTTACAATGAGGCGCGGTGGAGGCCAGACTGTGAGAGCTGCGCCATTTAAGGTGGAACGGAAAGTTCGAATTAATGTCATGTAGAAACTGAGGTTATAGAGTTTAAACTGCAGTTTAGTCCAAGATTAGACTCAACCAGCGCTGGAGTTGGGTTTAAAAGGGGAACTCCACCATTTTTCTCAAAATTCCCCCATAACTCAGTGTGTAAACAGAGTGATTCAGAGTGGTTTGGTGTGAAATGGTTCAGATGTCTTTACAGTGGTGGTGATAGGAACCAGGGGTCGCCATGACTACAACACAGATATAGACATTTTATTTACTATCCAGAACCACCAGTGAACCTACACGAGTCTTCTGAGTTTATATGGAATGTTGATGATGGAAAATAGTGGAAAATCTGAAATAATAAGTTTTCTTTGGGGACTATTTTGCCTCACAGCGCCCTGCATGTATCCCTCCACCATGAATGGAGTTTAAGTTCTCTAAACTATCATAAAACAGTGTCTCAGTCATCAGGCAGTGAATTCATAACCATTTCATGTAGGAACTTTCTGTGAGGGAGCTTTTAGAGGTGGACGTCTGGTTCCTATCACCACCACTGTGAACAGTTCTGACTCAGTAAGTTTATCTAGAACAGAGCGTTTCACACCAAACCACTCAGAACCACTCTGAATGACTCTGTTTACATCTTAACTAGTGAATTATGTTGAGATTATGAATATTATCTCTGAATTTAGAGTCTGAATGTGATCATTGTTCAGTTCTTCAGTGATGGCAGCGGTCCGGTTCATGGTGATGTTCGATGATGAGTCGGTGGACGTCTCGTTCACGGACGGTTCTCGTCTCCAGCTGTCGCCCTGCGGGTCCGAGTACGTTCTGGAGAAAGCTCCTCCTGCTCACCCTCTGCACGAGAGGAGACGAGTGAGACACAGGACAAGGTTCACTATCAGCGAGTACAGGGTAATCAATACAGCCCGGAGTGCACACACTGATCAGTGTAGTTCACTCTCTTCACCACAGCCAGTTTAGAGCAGCCTGTCCATACACAATCATCACTGTATACCAGAGACATGACTGTGAGACACTAGAGGGCGCCAGAGAGGCTCTGAGAACGGAGCTAATCGGATAAAACTGTAGATTAGATTAGATTTAGCTTTATTGTTGTTGTCCAGAGTACAAGTATAAAGTCAATGAAACACAGTTAGCAGCACCAGAAGTGCAAAATACCCTATTATTTACAGATAAGTGCAGGAAAGTAAGAGCTGTAGGGAGTAAAGCTGTAGCAGTGCAGTAACGAGTGCAGTAAAACTGTTAGATCGCTGGAGTTCAGCAGGGTATTTCATTAAATATGCTAATTACATTAATAAAATGAAAAAGGTTAATTTACTATGTTTTGTCTTTTACAGAGGGACTTTATTTTATTAGTCTTTAATTTTGGGAAAGCAGAATGTCACACTGTCTGTGGTGGGCGTGAGTAATAAAACGTAAAATATGAATTGAGTAAAAGTAAAAGTACTCTAAAATTACTTTTACTCAGTTAAAAAAGTATAGAAAATTTCTAAAAGTATTCCAGGTATTCTCTCTGCATAAGAGTAGTACAGAAGTGCTTGTTTGTGAAAGCACTGCAGTATTACAAAGTAAAAGTCCTTTGAGTTATTATAGATTTTGTGCAGTTTGTATAATTTTGATGAACAGGTGCTGTTACTCTCCTGTTTGTGTCTACAGTCAAACAGTTCACCACTAATTTGTGCACAAAAATGTTATGATAAGCCATCTACAGTGACTCAAGGCACTTTTAGTTTTGTACCTTTTTAATGAGAGGCTTGTTGGTTGGGAAGGGTGGCAGTCGTCCACCGTTTTGATATTTTAAAGTAAGTTTTCACCTTAAAATCACATTAAGAAAATTATCCAGTTTTTTCCACTGAGCACAAACAGGTTTGGTGTCTGAAGTCTACTTTTTTTTTTAATAATGTTCCATGACGTTAGCTACGATTATTAGCTAAGATTATGAGTAAAAGCTTGTAAATGAAACCATCACTTTTACCAATTTCAGCAAATATTATATATATATGACTGCTGTCAGAACAAAACCTCGTATCTCCAAAATGGTAACTTTACAGGAGAAGTCAATGGAACCAGACTTTTTTCCAAAGTCATTTTGGGTCGTTTCTTTTGGTCCATTCATCATGAAATTTACACACAATGTATACATTTATGAGGACATGCTGTAAATGCGCTACATTACATAATTACCTTAATGTGATTGCATAGAAAACTTTGCTTGGTCATGCATGCCCTGTAAAACTGTCCCATAATACCTACATCCACCCTGTTGTCTCCTTAGGCTTTGCTGGTTGATGCCTTGAACTTCAGGAATAAGTATGCAGCGCGTCCGTATCTACCTGAAGAGCTCATTCCTGAAGACCAGAAGGAGGTAGGTCCTCCATTCAGCTGCTCTTTACAGGAACATCACATCACAGGAACCTTTTCAGGAACTTATAGGCACCTTTGCACAAAATGAGTGATATGGCAAACATTTAACCTCATAATGTTTCAGGACGTTTTCATTATACATCATGTGTCACAATATACATATATAAGTTGTGTCACATTTAAAAACAGTATTGAATACAGTGATTTACATGTAACGTTTCACACACTGTGCTGCAGTAAATCCACTTAAACAGGACTCATGAGGCTCTCTGTGTAATGAAACATGCAGTTGGTCACTGATTCAGTACTGATAATTTCCACTGTATGTTCAGAAAAGCTGATTGTAACGTAATTTATCACAATATTGATAAATACTGTCATATTGCTCGGCTCTACTTTCCACCACAAGATCCTTTTTCGGATCGTTTGTAGTTTATTTCAGACATTTTTAGCTCCTCTTTCAGAGTGGGCCGTTTTCTAGGAAACACCAGCTATCTGTGCTGCACATGGCTGAATGGTGAAATACAAGCTTCTCAGAATCTTCTTATCTACTGTTTAAAAAGACATTTAAAAGGAGTTTCGTAATTTAAGCAAAAAAAAACTAGTTCCTCAGTGGGTTTTGGCACTTTCTAAACAGTTTGTAGCTCTTTAGTTCCTTAAAAACTTCCTGAACACTTTAGGTCATCAAAAGGTCTCTGAACTCATCAACGTCTCAAAAGGTTCCTGAACTCTTCAGGTCATCGAAAGGTTTTGGAGCTATTTAGACCCTCAGAAGGTTCTGAGGGTCCTCAAACAGTTCAGTAACTCTCATTCCTCAAATGATTCCTGAACTCTTAAGGTCCTCAAAAGATTTTGGAACTTTTCAGGTCCTCAGAAGGTTCTTGAACTGTTCACGTCCTCAAATAGTTCAGTAACTCTTTAGTGCCTCAAAAGATTCCTGAACTCTTTCGTTCCTCAAAAGGTTCCGGAACTCTTAAGTTCCTCAAAGGTTTCAAAGTCTTTAGGTCTTCAGAAGGTTCCTGAACTCTTTTGGTTCCTGAAAAGGTTCTGAAACCTCGGGGGAAGCGTATTAAGCTTAAGGAGGGTTAATTGTGTTCCCCCAGTGCAGATAAAGTGTCTGGCTTTGTAACTGTGTTCTCCTTCAGAAGCTTGGAGCTGAGGTCTCTGAGGTTGAGTGGCCTTCAGCAGACTCCTGCAGCATTGTCCACAGCTCAGCTGGAGACGTAACCGTGTGTTCGGTGGACGGTCATGCGCGGCTGGTGCTGTCCACCTGCGGTCAGGAGTTTACAGTGGAGTTCACGTGCAGGAGCAGCCGGAATGAAGAACGTCCTGAGGAGCCTCAGGGTCTGAGATCAGCTCCGGCTCCATCTACAGCGGCCAGGCATCTGCGTTCATCAGAGACCGAGGACGCTGCGAGGTCAGCCAGGAGGATCACACATACACGTGTGGTCCAGCACCACTCTGGACTTCATCACCCTCACACCTGGAGATACCCCCTCTCTGTAGCTCTCAGCCAATGGGGAGCCCAGAGAGCTCAGTGCAGCGATGCTATTGGACAGCAGAGAGGTGCTGGGACAGAGGGGGAATTAGGCCACGGCCCCACGGCTGTCTCTCAGGCGACAGTGAAGTGTAATGTTCCTCCTCCTCTCCCGCTGACCTGCCCCTGCCCTCACCAGCACAGGTCAGTATATGATCCATTAAGTACTCTTATGGTATCAACTCTTATACAGTGTCATTCAACACCAGGTCATACCTAAATAGCGTTTTCATGTTATATAGTATTAAATATTAAAGTAATATTTTAATAGTCTTATCAGCATCTGATCTAGACTGCTGATTGGCTGGTAATATATGCTGGATATCTCTTATGCATATGATATCATGATGATGATGATGATGAAGAGGAGGGTAATAATATTCTGTCCAGGTGGCGGTATGGCAGCGGAGCTTCTGATTGGTCAGAACTGGACGCGTCCGCAGAGCTGGTGAAAGTGGTGTGGTGCCACGGAGTCGTCTACCGGTAATTATCGCATTGATTAAAACGTTATAATAACCAGATTTATTAGTCACATACTAATTATAGCTACTGGAATGTAATAACAATAAGTACTGTTGTTGGATGATGATCATTGGTAGTCGGATCATTGGTAGGTGCCAGAATGTAACTGCTGCTGGTGGAACGGCAAGTTCGCATAAGAAGCTGCTGAGTAGGACGCCAATTCGTTTACGTTGTTGAGTGTATAACGTGTGTAATCGTGTGTCAGGGTGATAGGTGGCGCTGTGCCGGTGGTGGAGGTTTCTCCTGGGGATGGATCAGTGATCAGGTCTAATGGAGTTCTAGCTGAATACTTCACCCACTACAGACCCTCGTCTTCTACTGTAAGATAAACCCCACCGACACTGCAGGAGTCTTTAAACCATTACAGCAGTCGATTATAGGAATATTCAGTACAATATGTGCTCATTTTTGGTCTAAAGATCTTTTTATGACCTTAAAAAGTAAAATAAAAGCTGTACTGTTTGTATTGTTTGTATTCTACTGCTGTGTAAACAGTTGATCCAATTATATTAGTTAATGTTTAGTATATTTTATGTAATAATTGTGAATCTGAGCTTTAGTAAGACTGTAGAGTTGCAGTATTTGAGGGCTGTGTTTAGTAAACAGTAAACACCTGTTTGTTTACAGACGGTGGAGAGTGTTTACTACCTCAACGGGCTTCCACCTGACCTGCCTGGACAGACCTACTCAATCAGGAGTGCAGTGACCAGAGCCAGCAGGTCATTAGAGATTGTGTATTACAGAGATATGTGGGATATCGTAGCGATCACTAACAACCACTTGGGATACCATAGCAACCACCAAGCAACAACATAGCACCCACCTTGAATACCATAACAACAGTCTAGCACCCTCAAAGCAACCACCTGGGATATCATTGCAACAACCTAGCAACCACCTGGGATACCATAGCAACCACCTAGCAACAACATAGCATCCACCTGAAATACCATAGCAACAGTCTAGCACCCTCAAAGCAACCACCTGGGATATCATTGCAACAACCTAGCAGCCACCTAGAATACCTAGCAACCGCCTGAGAACTACTTGGGTGCTTTACACAGGAAAACACAATAGTAATAAATGAATAATAAATTAACGAGGTTACAGTCATTAACAGTGCTTGTGTTTGATTTTAGAATCCTGCAGTGCTACAAACAGGCCAGCACCTCCACCACTCCCATAATGCCTCAGTGCTGCTGGAGGAGGGTGAGTATGATGTCTGACTACACCCCAATAAAACATACTAACGTCCCGGAGCTCTAAGAGACACAGCACTGTCTGTGTTTTCACAGTGCAGACTCTTAAACGGAGACCTGACACTCAGCCTGCTCAGATTAACGGGAGCTTCAGCAGATACTGTGTTAGTCGCCCTCTGGTGGCAGATCAGTGCAGTGCCATTAAAGTAACAGTTCAAAGTCAGATTTAATCAGTTTTCCCCTGTTTGCCCCAAATGTAGTCAATCAGTCGAGACATGTTTGGTGTTTACTTTTTGTTTTAGCACTGGAGCTACGAGGCTAATGCAGCTAACAAGTAATTGAAGTTTATTCCCCACCGATTAGCAGTGTGCTAACTGCATGTCTAAATCATCACAAACTCGCCTAGTCGCCAATTTCAAATTAAAATTTTCCGTTCCACCTTAAATGGTACAGCGCCTCAGGTGCCAGAATGTAAGTGCTGCACCATTTAAGGTGGAATGGAAAATTTGAGTAAGAGAGTACGGGGGTAAATGCCTCAAACCGGTTTAAAGGTAAAGTGGTGCTCTCTGGTAGTGATCAATAAGAGTTATTGATTAGTTTCGTATTTCAGTTTGTTACCTGAAGTTTGTGAGTTCCTGTATTGAGCAGGTGGAGGTGAAGGAGTGTGCAGGTGTTGTCTCGGAGTTGCAGGTGGCAGGTACAGGCCAGTTTCAGGCTCTCTCAGATGGCACTGCCCACATCACCTTTCTGGATGGAGTTCAGGTGCAGATGCTGTGGAATACACACACACCTACACAGGTACCCACCTAACCTACACTGCACACACCTGCACAGGTACACATCTATTCAACACTACACACACCTACACAGGTACCCACCTAACCTACACTACACATACCTGCACAGGTACACACCAAACCTACACTACACGCACCTGCACAGGTACACATCTATTCAACACTACACACACCTACACAGGTACACATCTATTCTACACTACACTCACCTGCACAGGTACATATCTAATCTACAATACACTTACCTACACAGATACACACTTAACCTACACTACACTTACCTGCTCAGGTACACACCTAACCTACACTACACGCACCTGCACAGGTACACACCTAACCTACACTACACTCACCTGCACAGGTACACACCTAACCTACACTACACTTACCTACACAAATACACACTTAACCTACACTACACTTACCTGCTCAGGTACACACCAAACCTACACTACACGCACCTGCACAGGTACACACCTAACCTACACTACATGCACCTGCACAGGTACACACCTAACCTACACTACACGCACCTGCACAGGTACACACCTAACCTACACTACACTTACCTACACAAATACACACTTAACCTACACTACACTTACCTGCTCAGGTACACACCAAACCTACACTACACGCACCTGCACAGGTACACACTTAACCTACACTACACTTACCTGCTCAGGTACACACCTAACCTACACTACACTTACCTACACAAATACACACTTAACCTACACTACACTTACCTGCTCAGGTACACACCTAACCTACACTACACGCACCTGCACAGGTACACACCTAACCTACACTACACTCACCTGCACAGGTACACACCTAACCTACACTACACTTATCTACACAAATACACACTTAACCTACACTACACTTACCTGCTCAGGTACACACCAAACCTACACTACACGCACCTGCACAGGTACACACCTAACCTACACTACATGCACCTGCACAGGTACACACCTAACCTACACTACACGCACCTGCACAGGTACACACCTAACCTACACTACATGCACCTGCACAGGTACACACCTAACCTACACTACACGCACCTGCACAGGTACACACCTAACCTACACTACATGCACCTGCACAGGTACACACCTAACCTACACTACACGCACCTGCACAGGTACACACCTAACCTACACTACACGCACCTGCACAGGTACACACCTAACCTACACTACACGCACCTGCACAGGTACACATCTAGCCTACACTACACTCACCTGCGCAGGTACACATCTAGCCTACACTACACACACTTGCACAGGCACGGACCTCACCTACACTACACACCCCTACGTAGATAGACACCATTTTTATAGTTGGTTATTTCTAATTTGTTTAGAAGCAGGAGCTTTCAAGTGGAGGGGTGGGGCCGGAGCTGTGCCAGCTCACTCTGCCTGATGGCCAACAGCACCTGCTGCAGGTAGAAGTGGGTGGAGCCTATGACAGGTAAAGATTTGTAGAGGTGATCTTACTGCTTTAAGCAACGTTAACATCACTGCACATACTGTTTATTTAAAAACTAACATGCATATTAAAACCCAGATGTTATACGTTACGGACAGTAAGTAACGTATTCCTCTCCCTGCAGGTACGTGGCCGTAGCGGGACAGTGGTGTCAGTGGGTGAAGCAGAATTTACTGAGCACGAGCAACAACGCAGCAGATTTATATGACCGTACTGAACCTCAGACTGACCGGCCAATAGACAGCAGGTATTATACAGTCATGTGTACTTTCCCTTCACTCTCTGTCTTTTGCACGTGAGTTTAACTTGATTGGTGTTTTTTTTTGTGTATTTACATATAAATAATACATTAATTCATTGATTATTTTGATATTTAAAAGAATCTGTCTAGTGATTTATTATAGTAAACCTATAGTTCTGAATATGAATAATTACAGTGCCAAGTTGACAAGCCGCTGAGAGTTTGTTATAAATTCAGTTATCTCTTTAATCTCTGCTGTAACTGATTAGGATTAGGCATTATTACAGTGCCAGACTAAATCTGTGGAGGAGATCAAAGGACAATTCAAAAGGTTCATGATTTAATAGCATTTATTAGCATCTGTTAGCGTTTCATAGCGTTAAATAAAGTAGCTAGCATTTCCTGTTGTTCTTTGTCCACCCTCAGGTCAGTGCTGACTGAGCTTCAGAAGATCCGGAGATTTAACTGTATCCTTGTGGAAGTAAAGTACAGACTAGAGATGGAGCCGTCAGTGTTTTTGGGTCTGGCACCGTTTTCGATCGAGGGCGGGGCTGGACTGTTAAGGCCTGTTCACACCAAGTAACGTAGTGGGACCTTCAGACCAAGTCCAAAGCGTTTTTCTGTCTAAAAACATTTTGTCTGTTAAGCACGGCAACTAAACGGTGGAAACACTGTGCACGTCCCATTCTACAACAAAGACAACAACATAGGGAGACCCAGCGCCTCCTACAGGAGCTAACACTGCATGACAAGCGATTCTGCAGGTATTTCCTTTTGTCAGTGGGGGAACTCGAGGCTCTGCTTTTGCGTTTTGCTCCTCTCATTAAAAAGGAGTGAGTGAATGCTGCTTAAATACAGTTGCTGTAACAAACTCGTGTTTGTTTGGGCTGCAACCATGACAGCGGAGCCTGTTCAACGCAGAAAATACAGCAGGCTCCAATTAAAGATTTACGCAGCATCAGTTGCTGAATCGGCGTGACGACATTAATTAATAATTCATTTTCATTCATGTTTTTTTCATCCTCGTTTAGGGCCACAGCGTTCCTTAACTATGGCTCCTATGCTTTAAGGCACTGTTTAGCTCTCAGGATCCGCTTAGTTCGAGAAATATCGGCTGGTCGCATATTTGGGCTGAAAATCAGCCGATACTGATACGTAGCCAATCGGCCGTTCCATCAGTCTGCTATAGGATTGGAGTGTCAGAGGAAGTGTTTGTTTGTTTGTAGTGTTTGTAGTGTTTCTTTTGCCCTTAACCTCCCTCTGCTCAGTTCTCCTGGACAATAGCTCCATTCTGAACTCTCCAAGTGACCCGTCTCAGAGTTTCAGGCTGAACTCTGACCTTTCTGACCTCACCATCACCAACAACAGTGTCTCTGAGGCTCTGCAGAAAACCACCAAAGCCATTCAGGACATAAATGCTCTACTGGCCCAAAAGCACTAAAGACTTCCAGGACATGCTGTACTGGCCCAAAATCTTAAAGTGATCCAGGACATAAACCCTCTACTGGTCGAAAACCATTAAAGCCATCCAGGACCTAAACACCCTCTAAAGACCTTCAGGACATAAACGCTGTACTGGCCCCAAAGCACAATAGACATCCAGGACATAAACGCTCTCCTGGCCCAAAAGTACTTAAGACATCCAGAACAGAAATGCTCTACTGGCCCAAAACCACTAAAACATCCAGGACATAAACACTCTACTGGCCCAAAAGCACTAAAGACATCCAGGACACAAACGCTCTCCTTGTCCAAAACCACTGAAAACATCCAGGACGTAAATGCTCTACTGGCCCAAAACCACTAAAGCCACACAGGACATAAACCCTCTACTGGCCCAAAAGTACTTAAGACATCCAGGACATAAATGCTCTACTGGCCCAAAACCACTAAAACATCCAGGACATAAATGCTCTACTGGCCTGAAACCACTAAACTGGAATCATTTATAGAGGCTTTGGGCTTTAATGAACTGAAATCATCATAATTTACTATTCGTAAACCATTTGCTCTGTTAAAATGTGTCTTGGTTTTAATTGTTGGATTAAATTTGTTTTTTTTTTCACTGAGTTTTTCACCGAGTTTCTTTTATTTCCCAGCAGCAGAAAGATAATTTGCATGTTTGAGAAAGGGAGTTGTCAGAAATGCTGTTTAGTCATCATTTTCTGCTGCTACTTCAGTGCAGAGAGAGAGGAACTGACAGAAACGTGACAGAGAGAGAGCAATTAATTTCTCCTCCCTGCGTCCACCAGAATCTAACATTATGGTATGTGTTTTATTTTATATCTGGTGTTGTGTAGAGAGTCAGAGCAGTGTTTACATACTGGTGGTAATGATGTAGATCATGTGCAGTACTGTGATGAAGTAATGCCTTCACTGTGCGAATGCGCAGAGACGGCAGGACATGAGTTCGCTTTCTTCTGGTTGTTTTGCTGGTCTGTGCTCATTTCTTGTCAGTTGGCTCATGCTACTGCGCTAAATGATAAACCATAAATCTTAGACTTTGACTTTAAATTTTAGCATTATATATTTGCCTAATGTATTGTAGCACTTTCAGACGTTCGTACAGCGGGACGCTGGTCACCAACCCTGGTCCTGGGAACCAACCTTCCCCTACCTGCTCCAGCTAATGCATGTCTTGTCTGATCAGGTGCTTTAGGGCTGAATGATTTGGGGAAAATATTTCATTGTGATTTTTCTGACCAGTGTTGTGACTGCTGTTCATATTATTTTTCTGGTTTGAGGCTTGGACGCTGTTTGATTTCTTTTGATTGGTCCAGTTCATCTACAGGCAGTTCACAGCTCAGTGTAATTAAGCAAAATTACGCTTCTTCAAACAATATTAACATTAAAATGGCTCGTAATTTGAATATTGCCCTCTTTCAAATTGTGATTTAGACACTTAATATTTCAGCCCTACTGTTAGGTAAACGGATGCAGGTTGAAAAGTAGACCTCCAGGAGGACGGCTGGTGACCGCTGCAGTGTACAGTAGTAAATACACTACCAGACCACAGTTTGGGGCCACCTGACCGAATGAGTTCTTCATAATCGTAGATGTTTTGACCCAAAGCAGTGGTCACCAACCCTGGTCCTGGAAATCTACTTTCCTGCACACTTTCATTCCCACCTGCATCTAGCATGCTGCCCCCAACCATCTGCATCTGATTCAGCCAGTCAGGGGCTGTTGGAGAAGTTAATTAGCTGGAGCAGGTGTGTCAGATTGTGGTTGGAGCTCCATAAGAGGGCAGATCTGTGTTTTGTGGAGCTTCATCACTCCAACTTATCAAGTAATTAGAAGGAATGCATACTGTATCATCAGCAGAGGAAGAAACACGGGGTTAGCCACAATCTGCTGCAAGAGGCGCTCTTTGAACACACCAGCAGAAAGAGGCACATACAGAAGACAGCAATCGCGGGGGAGGTCACCACTAGCCACACACCTCACCCCGACTGACCTGAGCTGGATGATGGTCACCTTCCGGCTGTGTGATGTGCCCAGCTCTGTTCATATCAGAGATATCAGTTAGTTCATGGCGGCATGTGTGATGAGCCGTCCGCGGTTGCCGTTGGACCTCCATAGCTAGTATCTGTCTATCCCCTGGCCCACTCTTGCAGTGCTGCTGGCACGATGTCCTCTCTCTTTCACCACTGACTCATCAACTGTTCCTCTGCTCAACACAGCGTATCTGCACTAACGCCTTCAATAGTTTTACTTTCACTTTCACTTGCGCCAACTTCACTACTGAGCCACCTTGCACCAGCCCTGTTTTCGGGCCGTCCTGCACCTGCTCCGGTCTCCAGTCTTGCTGTGCCCGTCGAGCCTTGCAGTGTCATCCCCACCATCATGGTCTTTCGCCAGGCTCTGCTTTTCTTGCCGTATGCCTTCGAGTTCACTTGTGGGGGGGGGGGGCACTGTCCCACTTCTGACATCAGTGTGGTGTCGACAGAGAGTAAGACAAGGGGTAGCCATGCTTCGGCACCGAGAAACATTCTTTATTGAACACACTGGCAGAAAGGGCACATACAGAACAACAAACTCACAGGGGAGGTCACTTCTAGCCACACACACTTCACCCTGATGGTGAACCCCCCCCACACACACACACACAAAACCTACAGCCCCCAACTCTAAATAACACTACCTGTACACCATGAGCTTTGTGGCTGGCCATCTGTCTAACCACACCTCCGGAGTCTCTCAGTGTCAGCACCAGCTTGTAGCAGGACTCTACAAAACTTTTCGACATATAGCGTATGGTGAGGAACGAGCTGACTCTGGATCAGCGTGGGCGCCTTGCTCTGGGCTGCTGTGTGATTTAGATGCTCTTTTCACACTTCTGCATTATCAAAGCAATGAAACGACTCTGACTTCCTCTAGAGAAGAGCCTCGCGCTGAATTTGGCTCTGCAGACTCTCAGCACAGTGCAGCTCGGGTGAGGTCGCTGGACAGCAGCTTCCCGATTCAGGTAATGTTCCAGTGGGACACGTTTGGTGTCTGCTTTGCGCTTTAGCTGTGAGGCTAGCGTAGCTAACAAATAATAAAACTTGTAGCCACTTATTAGCATTGTGCAAATCATATCATATTTGCTTCGGTTCTTGTTGAGTTACAATCTAACACACTGTTATCTACAAACATGGACAAAATTCAGGCTTCATGATGGCTGCTAGTGATTTTAGCTATGCCAGTGTACTGTAGTCCATATTTATAGATAAAGGTGAGTCATACAGTGTCAGAAACCACATCATCAAGGCTATTAGAGATACTGAACATCTCCACACTCTTTGCGGTGAGAGATGATTTAGACATGCAGTTAGCACCGTGCTAACCTGGTGACTGTAAGCTACCTGTACTTGCTACATTAGACTATGTCAGTCCTGGAGTCCTGTTGGAAATGTTGCAGATGCTAAAGCTCTGAGTTGCGCTCCATGCTGGTTTCCTCAGGGTTTCTGGTGGACTTTAACTTGCACTGGAAAAACCCCGTAATTCATGTGGAAGTGGAAGCTTCTTAACCTCTGAAACTCCAAGGGTTTGTATGTGGGTCAATAATTCAGTTCAGTTCCTCACTCTCATAACAACAGAACTCACGTTCGTTTTGTAGTAGTTACTGAATAATTTGTTGTAATTACTCAGTAATTTGTAGTAGAGAATCTGTCAATGTAATTATGTATCTTGAGGCTACATATCATCACTGTTTCTGCTGTAATGACTGTATATACGGCAGTTTAATGGGGAAAATGTTGTGGGTAAATCTCTGAGAGCAACTTCAGCCGTGCTACGGTAACTAAAACTGTAGGTTATGACATTAACTTGGAGAGCTAGCAGTGCTAAAGCTGCTGAACTTCTTCAGATGTTTATCTCTAAAGAGCTCCACCTGAGCATCGACACAGTGTGACCTTTCACAAACATACAGCATAAATATCATGGGATATAAATAACGTACTCTAAATGTAGGTATTGTGATATAAACTGAGTCTGTTCTACAGTTTCTCATTAGGCTGAATGAATAACTGACTCTAAATGTAGGTATTGTGATATAAACTGAGTCTGTTCTACAGTTTCTCAATAGGCTGAATGAATAACCGACTCTAAATGTAGGTATTGTGATATAAACTCAGTCTGTTCTACAGTTTCTCATTAGGCTGAATGAATAACTGACTCTAAATGTAGGTATTGTGATATAAACTCAGTCTGTTCTACAGTTTCTCATTAGGCTGAATGAATAACCGACTCTAAATGTAGGTATTGTGATATAAACTGAGTCTGTTCTACAGTTTCTCATTAGGCTGAATGAATAACCGACTCTAAATGTAGGTTTTGTGATATAAACTGAGTCTGTTCTACAGTTTCTCATTAGGCTGAATGAATAACCGACTCTAAATGTAGGTATTGTGATATAAACCGAGTCTGTTCTACAGTTTCTCATTAGGCTGAATGAATAACTGACTCTAAATGTAGGTATTGTGATATAAACTGAGTCTGTTCTACAGTTTCTCATTAGGCTGAATGAATAACCGACTCTAAATGTAGGTTTTGTGATATAAACTGAGTCTGTTCTACAGTTTCTCATCAGGCTGAATGAATAACCGACTCTAAATGTAGGTTTTGTGATATAAACTGAGTCTGTTCTACAGTTTCTCATCAGGCTGAATGAATAACCGACTCTAAATGTAGGTATTGTGATATAAACTGAGTCTGTTCTACAGTTTCTCATTAGGTTGAATCGGTTTTCTACTCACAGCAGTAGCCTGGACAGTTTAGCTGTTTGCTGAAGCCTCTGACATTAAAACAAAGGCTCTTGACCCCCACCCCAGTGCCCACCACAGGGCCTCTTCTTTTGTATATGATCATGTGCTCATTTCCTGTGATGCTTTGCACGGCTTTTCTCGCCTGCCTGCATTTCCTCTGCACACACAGCGGTCTGATAAGAGGCCAGTGTTGGAGTGCATGCTTCAAAACAGCAATCGATCACAGATTGTTAATTGCTGATCTCTAACTGGAATGGTCCTGTACTTTCACTACCCGTCACTTCTGAGTTCCTCTCTAAAACATTCCTCTCAGCACTTTATTTACAAACAGCCAGGCAGAGTAAACATCATTTAAAAGCTCTGTTTGTGTGAACTTTTTGTGAATAAACTGTTACAGAACTTATATAGTGATAACACTAGAACGCTAGCATCCATGCAGGATACCAAAGCATCTGCCTAGCAACATTCTAGCAAACTCCTAGCATACCATGGCAACCACCTAGCAACCACCAGAAATTCCATAGAAAACTCACAGCAACACTCTAGCACCTGAGCAACTCCCTCTGATACCATAGCAACTAACTAGTGACACCCTAGCAGCCATCACGGATACCATAGAAACTGGTCAGCAAAACCCTAGCAAACACCTGGGAGACCACAGGAAGCACTAGTCAATACTATAGGAAATAAATGGCAGAACTACATGAGCAGTACACTGGCAACATCCTAGCATCCATTTGGGATACCATAGCATCTGCCTAGCAACATTCCAGCAAACACCTAGGATGCCATGGCAACTGCCTAGCAACACTTTAGCAACCATCAAGGATTCCATAGCAAACTCATAGCAACACCCTAGAGACCACCTAGCCACACCTTAGTAAGTCCCTGTGATACCATAGCAACTGCCTAGTGATGCCCTAGCAACCATCACAGATACCATAGAAACTGTTTAGCAAGACCCAAGCAACCCCCGGGGGGCCACGGCAACCACTTGTCAACACCTTAGGAAATAAATGGCGGAACTTCATGAATAGTACACTAGCAACATCCCAGCAACCACCTAGGATACCACCGCAACTGCTTACCAACACTTTAGCAACAAACTAGCAACCATCAAAGATTCCATAGCAAACTCACAGCAACACCCTAGAAACCACTTAACAACACCTGAGCAACTTCCTCTGATACCATAACAACTACCTAGCAATGCCCTTGCAACCATCACAGATACCATAGAAACTGGTTAGCAAGACTCGAGCAACCACATGGGAGACCACAGTAACCACTGGTCAACACTGTAGAAAAAAATGGCAGAACTACATGGGCAGTACACTAGCAACATCTTAGCATCCATGTGAGATACTATAGCAACTGATTAGCAACATCCTAGCAACCGCCTAGGATACCATGGCAACTGCTTACCAACACCTTAGCAACCAACTAGCAACCATCAAGGATTCCGTAGCAAACTCACAGCAACACCCTAGAAACCACCTAACAACACCTGAGCAACTCCCTCTGATACCATAGCAACTACCTAGCAACCACCACAGATACCATTGAAACTGGTTAGCAAGGCCCTAGCAACCACCAAGGATACCACAGCAACTGCCTAGCAACACCTTAGCAACCATCATCAGCTGTACTGTGTTTGTGATTTTGCAGCGTATTTAGCTTCAATTCATCAATTTACATTGTGTTTCCAGCACTAACACTGAACCACTGAACGTTATGATTTAGAATGTGTTCTGTGTTGTATTATAATTTTGTGCAGGGTTGGTGTCGAGCCGTGTGTTCAAAGATGTGCGTGCCCAGGCCCTTTTCACGCCTAAGGAGGTGACATGCCTCTAAAAGTGTAAATACTTACACATGTGGTTTCAGTTAGCAGTTAAAAATACTCGCCGGCCTCTCCCAAACTCACTCTAGACCAACTGACAGAACACGTATTCAGTATTTTATCGTATAGTTTGAGTGATCAGTGAGAAAACTGAATGTTGGAGTAATTCTGGAAAAAGAAAACCTGCTCTATGAATAGGAGCAAGTGTAACACGTGTTTATTCTTAGTTGATTTAATTCATTTTACTTCTCGTCTACTTTCTTGTTACTTTGGATTGTGCAATGTAGCTCATGCTGCTTTCACACGTCAACTAAGTACTGAAGTGACGGTGCTTTATAGATCTTTATAATCCCAGAATGAACCAAGCCGCTCACTTCTGCATGTGTGTGTGTTTCCGGCTCTGCAGGGCTCTCAAAGTAACTTCCACGGTCTGAAGTCTCGGTTTAATGGTCCTGCTGACTCGTCTGTGCCCCCTCTACTGAACAAACCTGGCTTTGGAGCCCTCAGCAGCCTCCAAGTGAAGCCAAGACCTCCTGACGCACCCACTCCCCCGAATTCCGGCCTCACCCCCAAGCCCAAACCACCCCCCAATAAGCCCAGCATCAACGCTGCCTCCATGGATACGAGGTTTAAACCACCTGTCCCACCAGGGAAGTTTTCTGGTTCCACTCCATCACCCAACAAACCAGCCAATTCCATCTCTGCCTTGAAGGAGTCGCTAGAGAAGGGTGGGCAGGACAGTGGGTCACGACCTTTGCCCACTACAACCCCCAAACCAGCAAAATTTACCGGGACACGGAACCTGACATCTGAGGGAGAAAAAACGCCTAAATTCCCCGGTGCACGAATCCCACCAGCTGATGGAGACAAAACACCAAAATTCCCTGGTGCACGGATCACGTCGGCTGATGGAGGGAATACACCGAAATTCCCTGGTGCACGGATTACGCCGGCTGATGGAGAAAAACCACAAAAATTCCCCGGTGCACGAATCCCACCAACTGATGGAGACAAAACACCAAAATTCCCTGGTGCACGGATTACGCCGGCTGATGGAGGGAATACACCGAAATTCCCTGGTGCACGGATCCCGCCGACCGATGGAGAAAAAACACCAAAATTCCCTGGTGCACGGATTACGCCGGTTGATGGAGAGAATACACCGAAATTCCCTGGTGCACGGGTCACACCCACCGACAGCGAGAAATTCCCAGGTGCACCAAAATTCCCCGGTGCACGGACTACGCTGGCTGATGGACAGAGTACACCAAAATTCCCTGGTGCACGGATTACACCATCGGATGGAGAGAAAACGACAAAATTCCCTGCTGCACGGACCCCATCGGCTGCCGAGGAAAAACAACCAAAATTCCCCGCCGCATCTGGTCCAAAACCTCCAGCTCCCTGGATGAAGCTGTCTCAGGTGAAACAGAGCGAACCAGAGCCGCAGAACGAACCTTCCAGCCAAAGCCCTGCCCACAACGACACAGGCTCCACCCCTAACGCTGCAGGGCTCGTTCATATGCAGAAGAAGCTGTTCATGGGCAGGCAGAACGATTCAGAGTCGCCTAAAGAAGTCTCCACCCCTAATGTTCTAGGCGCTCCTCGTAGTTCTGTAAGTTCCATCCACGACGTGGAAGTGTCCACGCAGCCAAAGAAGAAGCCCTTGCCCGGCAAGGTGTCTTTGGGAATGTGTCCGGCAAAGCCCAGGAGGCCACCTCTTGTGGACCTGCAACTGTTCAAGAACCATGGTGAGGTCATCTCTTATCGATACAGCTGGAGATTACTGGAGTTACACCTTACTCAAACCTTAAGTCTTAAACCTATAAACCTAGTCTTCACCTTTACTCAAACCTTAAATCTTAAACCCATAAACCAAGTCCTCACCCTTACTCAAACCTTAAATCTTAAACCCATAAACCTAGTCCTCACCCTTACTCAAACCTTAAATCTTAAACCCATAAACTTAGTCTTCACCCTTACTCAAACCTTAAGTCTTAAACCCATAAACCTAGTCTTCACCTTTACTCAAACCGTAAATCTTAAACCCATAAACCTGGTCCTCACACTTACTCAAACCTTAAATCTTAAACCCATAAACCTAGTCCTCACCCTTACTCAAACCTTAAGTCTTAAACCTATAAACCTAGTCTTCACCCTTACTTAAAACCTAAATCTTAAACCCATAAACCTGGTCCTCACACTTAATTAAATGTTAAATATTAAACCCATAAGCCTAATCCTGACCCTTACTCAAACCCTAAATCTAGTCCAGGCTCTTAATAAACACTTAAATCTAGTCCTGACACTGACTCACTACCTAAACCTGTTTGACTGTTAAACCTTATCCTGACCTTTAATTGATCCTTAAACCTTATCTGACCCTTATTGATCCTTAAACATTATCCTGACCATTAATTGATCCTTAAACCTTACCTGGAGCCTTTATTAACCCCTAACCCTTATTGATCCTTTAACCTTATCCTGACCATTAATTGAACCCTTAACCAAACCCATAAACCCATCACTGATCTCTCTCCTTTAAACCTAGTTTTGACCCCTGACCCTAAAACTTGTCCTCCTGTCTAATACACTCTAATAAATCTAGTCTGGACCTCAAATACACTCCTAACCTTGTCCTGAATTGTAATATTCCCCTTAGCCTAGTCCTGAATTGTCTCTTAATACATTCATAAGCCTTGTCCTCATAAAACACCCTAAATCCAACCTTAAACCCCAAAAACATCCCTAAACACATTTTTACACCTTGAAAAACTCAATTCTCTAAAACCCAATTTTGAGCCCTAAAACACAGTTACACCTAATCCTGATCCCTATAATGCCCCCAAACTCATCCCTAAACCCCTGAAACCTCCCTAGCCCATCTCTAAACCCTAGTTGCACTATCCTAAACCCAATTCTAAACCCCTAAACCTATCCTAAACCCAATTCTAAACAGCTAAAATGACCATAAATCCATATATAAATGCTTTGACACTCTTGAACTTAACTCCAAAATATCCCAAATCCCAAATATCCTAAACTCATCCCTAAACCCCAAAATCTACCCAAACCGTCACTAAACTCCTCCCTAAACCCTTGAAGCACTATTAAACCCAACCTTAAACCCCTAAGTCTACCCTAAACCATCTCTAAACCCAACCGTAATCTGCTAAATCTACCCTAAATCCTTGAAACACTCTTAAATCTGATCCTAAACCCCTAAATCTACCCTAAACCATTGAAACACTCTTAAATCCAATCCTAAACCCCTAAATCTACCCTAAACCATCTCTAAACCAACCCTAACCCCTAAATCTACCCAAAACCACCTTTAAACCCAACTCTAAAACCTTAAATCAACCTTAACTCATCCTTAAACTCATCCCTAAACTCTTGAAACACTCTTAAACTCAAGGCTAAACCCCTAAGTCTACCCTAAAACATCTCTAAACCAACCCTAATCCCTAAATCTACCCTAAACCATTTCTAAACCCAACCCTAAACCTCTAAATCTACCGTAAACCCTTGAAACACTTTTAAACCTACCTTTAAACCCTTTAAATCTACCCTAAATTATCTCTAAACCCAACTCTAAACCCCTAAATCAACCCTAAACTCATCCCTAAACGCTTGAAACACTCTTAAACCAACGCTAAACCCCTAAATCTACCCTAAACCATCTCTAAACCCAACTCTAAACCCCTAAATCAACCTTAAACTCATCCCTAAACGCTTGTAACACTCTTAAACCAACGCTAAACCCCTAAATCTACCCTAAACCATCTCTAATCCCAACTCTAAACCCCTACATCAACCCTAAACTCATCTCTAAACCAACCTTAACCCCTAACACTACTCTAAACCATATCTAAGACCAATCCTAACCCCTAACTCTACTCTAAACCATCTCTAAGCCAGCCCTAACCCCTAACTCTACTCTAAACCATGTCTAAGCCAGCCCTAACCCCTAACTCTACTCTAAACCATCTCTAAGCCAATCCTAACCCCTAACTCTACTCTAAACCATCTCTAAACCAATCCTAACCCCTAACTCTACTCTAAACCATCTCTAAGCCAATCCTAACCCCTAACTCTACTCTAAACCATATCTAACACCAATCCTAACCCCTAACTCTACTCTAAACCATCTCTAAGCCAGCCCTAACCCCTAACTCTACTCTAAACCATATCTAAGACCAATCCTAACCCCTAACTCTACTCTAAACCATATCTAAGACCAATCCTAACCCCTAACTCTACTCTAAACCATCTCTAAGACAATCCTAACCCCTAACTCTACTCTAAACCATCTCTAAGCCAGCCCTAACCCCTAACTCTACTCTAAACCATATCTAAGACCAATCCTAACCCCTAACTCTACTCTAAACCATCTCTAAGACCAATCCTAACCCCTAACTCTACTCTAAACCATATCTAAGACCAATCCTAACCCCTAACTCTACTCTAAACCATCTCTAAGCCAGCCCTAACCCCTAACTCTACTCTAAACCATATCTAAGACCAATCCTAACCCCTAACTCTACTCTAAACCATATCTAAGACCAATCCTAACGCCTAACTCTACTCTAAACCATCTCTAAGACCAATCCTAACGCCTAACTCTACTCTAAACCATCTCTAAGACCAATCCTAACCCCTAACTCTACTCTAAGCCATCTCTAAGACAGCCCTAACCCCTAACTCTACTCTAAACCGTCTCTAAGACAGCCCTAACCCCTAACTCTACTCTAAACCGTCTCTAAGACAGCCCTAACCCCTAACTCTACTCTAAACCGTCTCTAAACCAGCCCTAACCCCTAACTCTACTCTAAACCATCTCTAAGACAGCCCTAACCCCTAACTCTACTCTAAACCATCTCTAAGACAGCCCTAACCCCTAACTCTACTCTAAACCATCTCTAAACCAGCCCTAACCCCTAACTCTACTCTAAACCATCTCTAAGACAGCCCTAACCCCTAACTCTACTCTAAGCCATCTCTAAGACAGCCCTAACCCCTAACTCTACTCTAAGCCATCTCTAAGACAGCCCTAACCCCTAACTCTACTCTAAGCCATCTCTAAGCCAATCCTAACCCCTAACTCTACTCTAAACCGTGTCTAAGCCAGCCCTAACCCCTAACTCTACTCTAAACCATCTCTAAGACCAATCCTAACCCCTAACTCTACTCTAAACCATCTCTAAGACCAATCCTAACCCCTAACTCTACTCTAAACCATCTCTAAACCAGCCCTAACCCCTAACTCTACCTTAAACCCATCCTTCTACCCACACAGTAGTGGTTACTGAGTGAATGAAGTCCATACTGAGGCTGGTGTTCTGTTTGTATGGTTCCTCAGGTTCCGTCAGCTCCAGTGCTGATGACTTCCCTCCACCTCCTCCACCGGACCCTCCAGCAGTCCCACCACTTCCACTGTGAGTGACCTCTGTAGGAAATGAATCCCTGCCCTCGTGTTATTAATCTGATGCTTCGGCCAACAATCTGAATTTCACAACTTACCCATCATGCTTGGTGTCTCAGGTCTGCCTGTTTGGTTTTAGCACTTGAGCTCTGAGGCCTCAGGCGGCAGAACGTAACCGCGGCACCATTTAGGGTGGAACGGAAAATTTAAATTAGAAGGTAGCGAAGAGGGAACCAACTTCACTAACACGTGTGGCGAGTGTGTGAAGGTTCAGGCCTGCAGTTAGCACCGTGCTAATTGGTGGGGTATAAGTTTCTATTACTTGTTAGCTACTTGTTGGCTTATTAGCCGCTTAGCTGCAGTGCTAAAACTAAACAAGCAAACTGATGGGTGAACTATCGCTTTAATGCAGCACTCAGCATCTCATTGAAGTAGCACAGCACAGTGCAGCGTAGGGACGCAACTGTGAAGCGGGATGGACGCTTAAAGGCAGCTTAGCGCTGCGGTCAGTTTTACAGGCTTTAATTAGCTCAGCTGATAGCGGTGTTCAGGAAGAGGAACTGCACACTCTGTATTGGCGGGGGGGGCTGTATGTTTAGAGAAGTGTGCTGGTGACATGGAAACAATATATACTGTTGGGTAAAAGTTTGAGCACCCCTGGCCATATTCTGTAATTTGTAATTTAGACACCCTAATAAGTCGGTATGTATTAGTAGTTCCCTGTTAATAAATAAACAAGGGAGTTTGCTGCTTATTAACAGACGCACCTCGGTGGATGTCACAGCTTGAAAATGGTTTTTCAAGCTAAGAGTCTTTCTGTTAGTTTCCTAAAATATTGTTCTGTTTTAGGAATTTCAGGAAACCCCTGAAGAACAGTAGATCTGCCCCATTGCTTGACGCCTAACAAGGTGTTCCTTTCATCAAATGCTGCTCCTTTTTTATCCAAGCAATGCATTTGGTGATTATGGCAAAAGAGTTACATTTTTACTTCATCAGTCCTCAGGCTGATCTAGATGCAGGTGAGGGTTCCTCCTGATGACTCTTCCATCCAGATCATGCTTGTGCTGCGCAGTAGAACAGTGTTCCACCACTCCTGTATCAGCTGAACCCTCCAGCAGGGGCTTTGCTGTCATGTGGGGGTTTTGCTTTGCCTTTCTGACGAGCAGGTCTATCTGAGGGTCTTCTTACTCTTTCAGAACTTGCTTTGACTTCCGCAGTTCCCCTTAACTGCCATTTCTGAAGGACATTTCAGACAGTGGAAGCACTTTGGTATTTTTTTATATCCTTCTCCTGCTTTGTAGGCGTCAGTTAGCCTCATGTTTAGGTCCTCAGTGTTAGCACAAGAGTCTGAGAATTTTTTAAGCTCTGGAACTTAAAGTCAGCTGACCATTGCTGACCAGCTTACCATAACGAGTCAAATAAGGCCTAACGAGTTGATTAAGTTCTCACACTTTACAAATGGAAGGGTTTTGCACGAGTCATTTATATATTTTCGGTGAATCACAAATATGCTTTATATTAGCATATGCAGAAAAACTTTAATATTTAAGAAAAAATAAAATTAAATATTTTTTTTCATTTCACCAAAATATGTAATGTGGACAGGGGTGCCCAAACATTTGTACACAACCTTATACATGCAAGAAGAGAAGGAAATACTAATAACTAATCACTGTAGAGAATTCTGAGTTCTATAAATCCACAGAGTTTATAAATCTGCAGCTGTGACTGACAGTTTGTTACACTATTTAAATGTAGTTGCTTATTTAGACACATAGTTCCACAATGAGCTGCATTCAGGCTCGATTTCCGTTCAGTCTGGACGTTTTTCTGCATTTTAACCTGAAAGCTGTTTGTGTTTGTGTTTGTGTACAGGAGGGTGGTGGAGGAGGAGAGTTATGATGACGTTGGAATGATGAACACATCTCAGTCTAAACCAGGTGTCCATCTGTCCTCAGCCCTGGTTCTGGAGGCCCACCGTCCTGCGTGTTTCAGTGTTTTACCTGCTCGGAACACACCTGATCCAGCGTTACTGAGTTAAAGTGGCTGGAGGAGCACTGCAGGGCTGTGGGCCTCCAGGACCACAGTGGTCTACAGCACACTCACTGATAAACACCGAACACTTAGAGGAACTCCACTGTTCTTCACCCTGATCTCCATCTGCTGCACCTGTGGAGTAACTTAGAAAAGAGCACTAAACACCTACAGCATATTGTTTATTACCACAGACAATATTTCCAAGAAGTTCCCCTGAACTTAGAAAAGACCGAAAACCTGTTTCCTCCAAACTTGCTTATAATAGCAGTCAATGGGCAGATGCATTAAAGGGAAACTTTATCATTTTTCATCTTGATCTTCATTTGTTGTGCATATAGCGTTCAGTTAACCACCACAGACAGGAACTTTCACACAGTCCCCTGAACTTAGAAAAGAGCACTAAACCCACCCGCTCTAAACTCGCTATAATAGAAGTCAATGGGCAGATGCATTAAAGGGGTTCTCTATAATTTTTTCATCCTAATCTGTATTCACTGTATCTGTAGTGTACAGTCAGTTACTACAGACAGTTCAATAATCTGAAAACCTGTTCACTCTAAACTGGCTTATTGTAGAAGTCAACGGGCAGACGCTGAATTCAACACATTTCAAAACGAAACAATCAAATATGAAAACGAAACTGCAAATCAGCCCATTTTGAATCTGTTGATTTTGTGATGTCACAAAAACAAACACATTTACTTATATTCACCTTGCGGACAGCGGTTTAGCCCTGCCCACTCATACTGAAGTGCGCTATAGCACAGCAGATAGAGATAAGGCTGAAAAAAGTTGCAGTCTTGCTGATATTAAAGAGCCGATATCATGGAAAACTGAACTTCCCTCCCTTTATTGAAATCAAAGGGTGAGATAAATTATGTCAACATAAATATGTAAAGTGAGGTTAGTGGTCATGTTAAAACACATTCTGACTGTTTTTCATACATAAAAACCACATAGATGCTGTAAGTGGAGCTCAGAGGAAAACATCCAAATACAAGGATG